AGTCTGTTCGTCGTCCTGTTTCTTGACCGCTGTCTTGCTGGCGGTCTTCTTCATCTCTTCCTCGACAACGATCAACGCATCTCGCAGGTAGTCGAACTGCGCATCCAGGCCTGCATTGGGGACCTCAGGGAACTCAGGGTCAACTACGACCAGAACGTCACGCAACTTCTGGTTTAGATCTTCGATGCGTCCCTCGGCTTGAGTAAGAGCAATGGAAGACGCCGCGGCTGCAGACTCCGCATCCTTGAGACCATCGGACGACTGTCCTTGCAGTTGCTGTTCCTCCCTGACCACCATAAGGCCCTGCTCTAGATACTCGAACTGGCTTCCGAGTGCGACCCCAGGCTCAGCTGGCGCAGGCGGCTCGCGGAAGCCGCTGTTCTTGGCAGGATTAAAGTTTACAATTACCTCTCGCAAAGAGTTGTTGAAAGTCATAAGTTTTTGCTCCGTATCCGTGACAGATTGTAGTCGCTGTGTATTCTCCTTCTGCAAAGAGTCGATTTCAGCGTTCAAGGCATCAGCCTGTGCCCGAAGTTGGGCGTTCTCGTCTTGCAGCCTGCTGACCGCGTCGGCTTGCGCGCGGAGTTGAGCATTTTCCTCCTTGAGTCTGTCCGCCTCATCTCGCAGCTGCTTGTCTTCAACCCCAGGCGCCTTGGATGGGATATTCAGTGGCGTGACCTTGGGTTTTCCGCGAGAGGGAGAACCGTCAAGGCCCAAGTCTTGAAACAGACCATTTTCATCGAAGAAAGAGTCATCTCCCGGGACCTCCATGCTGTTGCGACCGTTGGTGTATGTATACAGACTCTCAGGGCTTCCCGGGATCCCGTTCATGATTTGCGCCGGCAGCTGATTTACGGGTTTCTTGGAAGCCTTGTGTGTCAACTGAAGGATACCAGCGGTATGCTCCAATAGGCTTCGTTGCGACTCAATCAAACGTTGCTCGAGGTTCCGCAGTTCGTTTGACAACTCTTCGCATCGCTTCTCACTAGCCTGCCGTTCAGCCTCGGCCTCTCGCATGGATTCGCCCATACTATTGCGGTTGCTGCCGATCAGACTCCTCCTCTTGCCAGCGTCGGGCTGCGAATAGAGCCTGGCCATGGAAATCGCGGCATCTCTGTATTTCGTCTGGATGGCGAGGTTTGTGCGTGTTTGCTCCGTGCGCACTGTCAGGGACTGCACCTGTTTCTTCAGACTATCCACCTCTTCTTGCGACAATATCCTGAACTGTTTACTGTCGGTCAATGCCGTCTCGGTCAAAAGATGGACTTGGATAGGGTCCTTTAGGTCGACGAGGGCGGAACTCGGGGGTAGCTTCGTGTTCATCTACGATTTGTTAGAGGATGGCGCGCAGCCCGCAATACAAATAGGGCAGACTGACTGGATTGACACGCAGTGGCGCCGCAGAGTTGTCCATCATGTCTCTCCTGTATTCATCCCCACCGCGGCCAGGCGCCCGGGGCGGCGAGGGCCTCCCCGGGGAATACCCGTTCATTATTTGTGGTCGACTGTTGCAAGAGAGTGACTCGTCAAAGCATTATATTAGGGTGAAATCGTTGAACCGTAGAATTGTTTACGAAGAGGTCGTCGTCGTCGTAGTCGCGGCCGTAGGGAGCATGTTCTTCTCTGGTGGACGAGGTGGAGTCGGCTGAGGGTATCTGAACGGACAGACTTTGAACAACAGAGCAAGCAATGAAAGCTCAGACAAACAATCGCACAACGTCTTCCGTTTGGGAAGGTAGGAAGGAGTAGAAGAGGACAAAGGGTGGCTGGTGGCTGGCGCGTGGGATTGTGCCGGAGCCCCTTGGTGGGAAGGGAGCAAGGGGGTGTTTTTTACTGTGTCGAGCGAGGTGCGAGTCGCAGCCGGAGGGACGTGGATGGCAAGAGGGCTGGTCGTGACACCAGAGCAACCGCTTCGTAATCGCTATCAGCGCGGAGACGGGAGGATGATGAAAGCCTTTCCCTGGGGAGGCAGAGACATCCTTTTCTTCCCAGTCAAATGCAAATGCAAGGTGGATCGGCAGAAAAGAGTTGTAGTGCCAGCAGCGAGATGTGGTGGCCGAGGGCGTGAGTTTGCCGTCCCAAAAATTGAGTTGGGTGACCTGTCGCAGCGGGTGGCAGTCTGGCAGACACTTGACACTACCAAAGCTAACCTCACTGCGTTCGTACACACGTACCAAAGATACCTCCTACACTGAGGTGCAGTCAGAGGACCCCGCCCCCTTGCAGGCCGCCCGTTTGCTGGCGATGCTTCGCAGCTCCCACTCTCGGGGAGGCACTTGCGCTAAGCTTATTTAGGTTCGTCCCTTGCCCAATTCCTTTCGTTCATCGTTTTCCTTGAGCAGCTGCCGCCCTTCTATTGGCAGACAGGTGGCCGTTAGCTTTACGGTACGTAGAGCACACGCTAAGCAGGAAGTCAAGAACATGTAAAGGCCACTGGACCGTATTTTTAGTTTTCTTCTGGGATTACCTTCCCGCCTTATCCATCCGCGTAATTTGGAAAAATTGTGCCTCGTCGGTCGCAACATCCTGACTCCTCGGGGAAGCTGAGGTGGTACTTGCTCTGGTGGCTGAGAGCTGTCGTCGTCGTTGCGGCTTGCATAAAATCAGTCTGCATCTGTAATCTGGGGCCAAAATCACCGTAATTTCGGGTTCCTGACGACCGGGATCTTTGAGCCGGGATCACGCCGAGCTATGCCAATTCTGACAGCCACCCGAACCTGTTTAGGCGGCGTGCTAACCGTCATCCCAAAAACGGTTCTCGGCCTTACCAGGGCCCTCAATAATATCGATAGATCGAGCAGATCAATGGATTTTCTTTAATGATGAGCCGGGCATGCTCATGAAAACACCCGACTGACGCATGAGTAGTTGAGAGCCCTGCTTACATCTTCATGCTCAAGTCCTTTTCAGCAATTAAGCCACTGCGAGCCCATCTATCTAATCGGTACAAACTACAATGCATATGAATGCAGGGCTGGAGTTGATCTGTTACTGATTGGTTGACCTGTCAGTCACTGAGTCTTACATCAACGCATCAGTGAGCTTCTCAGGCCTGTCTTTGTAGGCTGTATCACTACGACTGATGCCGCAGAGCCGTGACAACCAGCGATTCCGATAGTAACGACAAGCATCATTTATTCCCCTTGGAGTATGCCTGGTATTTGAATTTTGTTTGTTCAGTCCTCCCGACCATCCTGGCCGGCTGGTCTTCTACGCCCCGCATCCGCATCAACGCCTTGAGCTCCCGAAGCGGTTGCAGTTGACCCTTCACTCTCTAGCCTGCGCTGAAGTCCCTCGAATTCGTTTCGCCTCCTCTGGCCCCTGACGCCAACCATCCAGCCGGGAAGACGCCACTTGGTCATCGCGCCTGGCAGAAAGTCGTTCCTCCAGGAGTATCCGACAACCCACCCAACGAGTGCACCAAGCAGAGAGCCAGGCCACTGGAAAAGCGCGAGCTGGATGGCGAGTGCGTAGCGGTACGACTTGTCGGAGAAAGTGAGCCCGACGAACTGATCATTGGTCGGCGGGGCAGCGGATGCCGCAACGCGATATCGGTAAATATGAGGGATCACGGCGTGGTATTGCGCGAGGATCGCAAATATGATCGGGGTCGGCCCAGCAGGCATGTAGTTGAATAAGCCTGCAGTCAATGGCCGTAGCACTAGGGACAGAAATACTGGCGGAATCACGGCAGTGAAGAGTGACGACACGAGAATGAAAGACTGCGACGGCGATAGTCAGCATCACGAGGCCTCACGTGCTTGGGATTTGGAGTTAACTCACGGCGTACTTCCTCGAACCCCACATTTGCTCAATTACCCTCAAGTGGTAGAGAGTCATGGAGGCGAACAGCACCTCGCTGGAGTTGGTGCAGCATAGCTGATATGTCAGCAGCCGCCAGAGCTGATGGTATCGCCAGAGATGGGTGTCGACAATGATGTAGAAGTAGTGCTTGACGTCAAACAGGCTAGCCGCAATGGAGCCTGAGACCAAGCCCAGGACAAGAGTGCGCGTGACAGGCGCATTCGTGAAGGACATGTTGTCGAGGTGCTATTGCATCGTAGCTCGACTTGTTGTCTGGATCACTCTCGATCGGCAGGGCAGAGCAGAGGGGCAGGGAGAGGTACGTAGGTAGCTCAGGTAGTGGGCGATCCCTGGCGATAGGAAGCTCTGTTCTGCTCAATTCGACTCCCTTGCAGCGCAGTCTCGGGCAGGATATTCCGATACGTGTTGCCTCTTCAGGTCGAGTGATTCGACGCGGGTTGAGTGGCCGACGACGTCGTGGATGAATTGAGGAGGCCGTACGGCCAATGTTGCCAGGTGGTTTTTTGGGCCGGTGTCAAATCCACTCGAAGCTCGACGCATGCGGCAGCACCTGCACAATGACCTCTAAGCTGACTGACAGTGGGTGGGTTTGGGGAATGACCCAGCCTCGGGTCCGCGTTCCAGCGCCACAGTAATGTCACCTTACCTTAGGTAAGGCAAGCCTCATCGGCAAGGGCAACGTCCCACCGGTTCAGACCACGACAACCCGTGCAATAGCGAGGCTGGAGGGCTGATGGTCGGGAAGGGTGTGGCTTGTTCACCCGCATCACCCGCTAACACGGGGCATGTGTACAGTCTCATTGGCCCACCGCTTTTCTGCCAACTTGTGATGCTCCTGCTTCCCTTGCGCATCCCTGTCGCGACGTGTTTCTGTGAGGCGCAGAGCTCTGGGCACACGCCGCCGCCGCCGCTACTTCCAGACTCCAAGCTTCTGGTGGCCGAATGCTGAGATCAAGCGGGTACTTGTCCAAGTTGCCAACAGAGCTGACGCGCCATCACGCAGTGGCTCAACCGGTTCTTGTGCTTTCTTTTCTCTGTACTTGTGGTTGACATACTCGTCTTTTTCTCCTCACAAAATTTGTAACTTGTTCAAGTCAGTTTATTCCTGTCCACAACTGCACAACTAGCCAGGTTTCCTCCGCCAAAGGTCGCGCCAGAATCCAAGTCCGCAAGCCATGTCAGAAATCTTTCTGAACCACATCAGCCGATGGCTGTTGAGCTCCCCGCCCGCGGAGTGGGCGATTAATCAACTGCGCGAACTGCTCATCGGAGCGTTAAAGCAAGGGCCAATTCCTCAACATGTCGCTTTCGAAATGGACGGCAACAGGCGGTATGCCCGAGGCAAGCGCATGGAGACGATAGAGGGCCACCACCACGGTTTTGAAGCCCTTGCACGGGTGCGCATCACTCCGAGCCATTCCTACCAAAATGATGACTGACCGTCAGAGTGCAGGTTCTCGAAATTTGCTACAAGTGCGGCGTCCGAGTCGTGACAGTTTACGCCTTCAGCATCGAAAACTTCAACCGCCCGCAATACGAGGTCGATGGGCTGATGCAGCTGGCCAAGGTGAAACTTGAGCAGTTGACACAGCATGGTGATCTGCTCGATCGATATGGTGCGGCGGTTCGGGTGCTCGGCCAGAGGGAGCTCATCCGCAAGGACGTGCTCGACGTTGTCGATCGTGCTGTGGATATGACCAAGTACAACAAGCGGTAAGAAATGTGCAAACTCGGACGTAAGGAGTATTGATCTGACCTCGATAGCAACGTCTTGAACATCTGCTTTCCGTACACTTCAAGGGAGGAAATGGCGACAGCGATGCGCTCCACGGTGGAGGAGTATATGATGCCCCCGGGTCCCAAGTACACGCCGTTCCCTGCCGCGCGCATTTCGCAAAAGATCATGTCGAAGCAGCTAGACCGACGCGAGCCTCTTCCAACCATTCGCGACACATCCCCAGCACCTTCATCCCGGTCAGACGGCGATGATGGCGCATCATCGTCAACGACCCTGCCTCCAGACTCGCCGTCGCCACCAAATCACCGTCCCGGTTCCTCTGGCGGAATGCGCCTGAAGAACCCGGAGACCATCACAGCCGAAACGTTGAACAACCACATGTACACTGCTGGTAACCCCCCGTTGGATATCTTCGTTCGAACTAGTGGCGTAGAGAGGCTCAGCGACTTCATGCTCTGGCAGTGCCACCAGGACACTCACATCTTCTTCCTCAAGTGTCTGTGGCCCGATTTCGATCTGCAGCACTTCCTCCCTGTCCTTCTAGAATGGCAATGGAGGCAAAAAACAATCGAGAGAGATGAGAGGCCTAGACAGATCGCCGCTAATGCGCGGAAGCTCGCCTAAGCCCGTGACGTCGAATCTGTAATGAGTGGGCTGCTTTCTGATCGATGGAGTGGACAGGCGTTCTATATCTCACAATGGTCCCTGATTAGGGAAAGCAACGGCCTAGGATTCCTCCGGCCTAGGTCGCGTCAACAGCAGGAGGAACGGCGGGACTGATACCAGCATGGCAGTGATTGTAAACCACATTGATATCCACAAGACTCATATGCCGATTGAGAAATAAAGCAGATTATTTCAAGGTTTGTGTGCTTAAATATTTGGACTTTGGAATTCCAGACAAAGAAATAGTTCCCCAGCTTGGGATGGAACGTATCTTGGCTGCCCAAAGGCATCCATCATGTGAGCCTTATCAAGGTGTGGCGCACCACGATAAGAAGACGAGGAATGACGACAATCAATGTGGCTTTTCGCATTTCTGCTGGGCGCGAAATCAGATGGTAAGCTAGTGGGTGGCTGGAGGTGGGAGAAAACCAGGTCTGGCCTGGGCAGTTGTCAGCGGTCCAGGGGCCTTGAGGTCCAGTTGCCAGGAGAGAGAGCTACGGGGGCCTCAGGCTGAAATGGCTCGCTAAGTGACGGATGGGGTCCCTCAGCCAATCCTCCGCCCGCGGCAGAGCAGATCCCCAAAAAGACGTGGATGATGGAACATCCCGAGGCGTCGCTCTTGATTTTCCTCGCGCACTCCCCTCACCCACCGATGCTGTTCAGCACCTCCCGAGCCTTCATTACGACCAGAATGCTCTAGATTGCTATACTCACACGTTATAATCACCTATATTTCGATTTTTGCACGGCGAGACCACTCTAGATTCCCCCTGCCCAGCGCGGCACTTCGTCCCGAGAACTCGTCGCTGCGACCTCGCTCTCCCGCCCACGACCTCGTACGTTCCGCGCGCCTTGCCGACCGAAGTCGCGATGAAGTCGGCCAAAACATCCGCGGCGGATACGCCGTCCAGCAGGCGGTCCCAGCCTGTTCGACAGACTCGCACCAATCCCCCGCGCGTCTCTTCTGGCCTGCGAGGATCCGGCGGCGGTCGGGACTCGCTCACCGGTGGTTCCTCTTCTGACCAGCCCATCGACATCTTTCCCGCTATTACATACTTCTCCGATGCCATTGCCGCTTTTCCCAAAGAGATGGTCCGACACTTTACTCTGCTCAAGGAGGTCGATGCCAAAATTGTTGCTCCCGAAGATGCCCTCTTCCAGCTTGTCGACGCTGCAATGAGCGCGCCAGCCCCGCAGCCCCGACCGGTTAACGACGCATCTAGCAGTGTCGCGCCGGCTTCTGCTCCGATGAGTGCCCAGAACAGCTCCAGCGGAGCCCCTCTCGGAGCTATTGCCCCTCCTCCTGCCCCCTCAACCGACGGCTCCTACGCGACGTCCATATACGACCCAAGCAACCTGCCAAGAAGACAGCTCTTCCGACAGACTGCTATCAAGATTCAAGAGATGCTGGGTTCATTGGAAGAAAAGAACCACGTCATTTCGACCGCGAATGACGCTCTTCAAAAGCAGCTTGCCCGTATTGACGACGTCTGGCCCCATGTCGAGAGCGAATTCAGTGAGGAGGCAAAATGGGGAAGCAACACACACTGGGCATACCCTGAGAACAGAGCCGTCAGCAAGGCCGCACATGCTGAGCGCTCACGGCGCGAGGGCGCTGCCGCTATTTCCGCCGCTGCTCAGCAGCTCGCAGAGGAAGCAGCTGCCAGAAGCGACGCGCGGAAGCAAGCGGTGCAGGCAAAGAAAAACCAAAAGACGCAGCACCAAGAGACTGATGGTGACGATGCTGAGGCTCGACCCAAGCCCGAGGCCGGCAAGAAGGGTCACGGAGGAAGCAAAGCACGCAAAGCGGCCGAGACCGCCGCCAACGTAGGCCTAGGCATCTCCACAAACGGAACAACAAACGGGACGGCGCCGCAGCCCAAGAGACGCAAGGTCGAGAAGACGCCCAGTGGAAACAATGTACCCAGCGCGATGAGCACCGTCTTTGGAAACAACGTCTCCAAGGCGAAGACGACGAGTCCCAGAGAGACGCCAGCCCCGGAAGGGCAGGGCCCGAAGAAGCGAAAGGCCCTACCTTCTGGTACCGGCCAGGCAAAGAAGAGGTATGTTTCGCTGAAAAGAAGTCTCGGTCCAATTCAAGGACATGTTTGCTGACGTATGGTGATCTACAGCAAGAACGGCATTGCGGCCATGTCCCCGTCCGTCACGTCCTCTCCAGTTCTCAGCACTTTCCCCGAACCACCGATGCCTCAAGGCTCTCCTGCTCCGACCGTCACCCCGGTGCCCCCGGCGCCTAAAGTGCCGACCGTTTCCCGAGCCAAGCAGAGCACTACACAAGCGGCGGTAGAGGGGGGAAAGCAATCTCGGCCGCCTTCGTCTGCGTCGACCAAGCCGAACGGAGCCCCGCCAGCGACGCCCGAGGTCGCGCCTGTGATGGCGACGCCCAAGCCTACGGTCGAACCGCAGCCTGCACCTAAAGAGCCATCCGCACCTCCTGTGCCGGAGATCACGAAGAAGGAGCCTGAGACAACCGAGACGGCCATCAAACCAAGCATACCAGTAGCGAAGCAGAAAAAGGAAACGCCCAAGCCGGAGGAGCCACAGACCCCGATCGAGCCTCCGCCAGTACCACAGACAGTCACCGCTGCAACAGTGACAAAGAGCGGGCGTGCCAGTAAGCCGTCAACACCTGCAATGGCTACATTCCAGGAGGCGGCACGGCCCAAATCGGCTCGCAACACCGACAGCACCACAAACAAGCGAAAGAAGAGCAGTTCGGCGGCGGCAACCAAGGCTGCCCCCAAGCCAGCAGATGAGGCTGAAGATAGCGAGGATGCCGAGGATGCAGAGATCAGGGCCAAGCGCAGCTACGACTACACGGAAGACGAACCAACATACTGCTACTGCACTAGCGTCAGCTACGGTGAGATGGTTGCTTGCGACGCAGATAACTGCGAGAGGGAATGGTTCCACCTCAACTGTGTTGGTCTCAAGGTAGCACCAAAGGGAAGCTGTAAGTTTGCAAACAAGCAACCAAATGTATATGTGGACGAAGCTAACAGTTGACGCAGCAAAATGGTACTGCGAGGAGTGTGTTCAGAAGCTGGCAAAGCAAGGCAAGAAGTTGTCCCACAAGTACAACCTGCTCCCCAACGCCATGAATATTCGCAAGCAGCGGGGTCCGCAGTACTGAATGACTTTTTCAATGTGACTCGCCGTGCGGCTTGCACGACACAACGGCAAGTGGGGATTATGATGATGAGTACAAAGTGGTATTTTCAGCGTGGAACGTCCCACATTTCTACACGGCGTTGGTTTGATTTGGAGTGTAGGTCGGTCGGCACGTTCGTCTTTGGCCGACCTCTAGATACCTTTTACCTAACGAGCATTGGGATCGCGGGGTAAATCAACATGGAGCAAGGTACATGAGCTAGCTGCCCTCGGGAATGGAGTACAGCACATACTGCCGGGACGGCAAAGCAGGAGGGGGCGTATCACATCTTGGGACGGCTCACCTGGTGGCGATCTGGCCCGTGGCGCGAAGGGTCTTTCTGTGAAGACGAGTTGGAGGATGAAAGCGTGTGTGTGCCTGACCGCTGCAATGTCTATAGGGGCCCCCCGAATCGGGATGGAAGAGAAATCTAATTCGGAGCTAGAGCTTAATGGAAATGCTCAAAAGGAGATGTTTCCACCCAATGGGAATCTTGCAGTGCTGTGGTGCTCGCCTCAACGGTTCGGACGGGGTTGTCCTCTATGCCGGCCACGTTCCCCGGTGCTCTGGCCCAGCGAGTTTCAGCAGTGCGATTCCGCGGAAGCTGCAGCGGATGCCGCGTCGGGGGTTCTGTTCAAACCAAGGTGCCTGTGGGATAAAGAGGAGTACGGAGGAGGTCCAAAGGTCACGATGCATGCATTGGCGGTGAAAGTAGGGGAAAAGGGGTAAAGAGAGAGACTCGGACACAGGTGATCTAGGTGTGAGGTGGGGAGTAAAACACGGAAACGTTTACGTGGTCCAGATCGGGGGTGAGAGAGGGACGTGGGCAGAGGTGGTTTGGATATCCATGAGTGTCGGTGTTCTGTACGCGGTGAGGGGCTCGTCAGAGGTACACGAATTCCTCAGAGACTGCAAGGAGTACAAAACACCCCTGGACGAGCAATGCAGGCCTGGTCGTTTTGGGCCGGGGTAGGAATTTCTGGGGTAAGAGTTGAAAAGGGAAAGTGAGTTGCTGGGGTCTGTCACCCGCCCCCTTTTTTTCTTCTGGTGAGTGTGGTTGAGCCGCTGCTGCGCTTGCGGGGGGAGACTTGCCTGAAATAGAGACAGGGCAATAGGCAACTGGAGTGGTGGGCAGGCAAGTGATGGCGATGTGAGTGAAGCCGACGTAAGGCACTTTGCCATCCGTCAGGGTGTGTGATCGAGAAACGACTTCAGGTTAGTGCAAAGCCGGCTTTTGAGGGGAAAATCTGGGGAAGCTTTGGGCGACGCTGAGTGGTTGACTGGCTCGGCTTGGTGTTGCTGGGATTGTTTGATATTTGGTCACTGGCATGCTGAACGAGTTATGCGCTACACAATTGTTTGAGGGAGCTAGCATGGCTTGACTCTCTGTAGTCAAAGGCAGCAGCTGGCCATTTGGTGCTGCCCCTTGCCTTCGTTTGCGGTTGCTGCTTGCTAATTTGTCTCCGGAGATGCTGGTCGGAAATTGTGCGCGCGTGACTTTGAGATACAAGAGGGGCGCAAAGTGGTGGGAGTGTTATTAGTAGCTGCAAGGTACCATGAGTGGTGGACATGGCGCAATGGCGTTGGAAGATGGGGACATTTGGTGACACACTTTGCAACTAATGACTAACTATTAGCAACACGTTTGTTGATGCTGTGGTTTTATTAGTCTACCGCCGCGTGACGGGTTTGACGGAACTCTCTCTCGAGTGTTGCGGGACAGGGAACCAGAGCCACGGCCGATGGGAAACGTAGCTGAAGAGCAATGGGCAGAGTTATGTTATGT